CCACACAGCACAACTAATTTTCTAACACCAATTTTCACTATAATGATTTTCACTACTACACACTCTATTGGACGACGTTATTTTCGTTGGTAGGCGATCAATGCCTTTCTTATTGGTCGTCCGTACGTTTACTAATAATTTCCTATATGCAAATGATCGAATCTACGTACGCGTCTGCGTCGTTCAAACGAAAAGAAAATCTCGATAAGGCGTTCCATTTTTTATTTCACGCGGTGTCCCCAGAATTGTGCGAGTAAATTTAGTGAAATATTGCCTGATCGGAACACCGTTCGTTCTTTCATGTTGATTAATAAAAACGTTGCACTCGCTATCTCAGATTGTTATCCGTATTGGTGGATCATGTCGATAAATATTGTATTATTTAACTGAAACATTCATTCTTCCATGGTGAATACTTAACAAAACAAAAACTGTTGTATCAACGGATTAAAAAATACCATCTGCATTGATTAACGTAACAAAAACACTATTGAACAACTTAAATGTTTTGCTTAGTAAAGATGGGGTCATGATTTGGTCGAGACTTTCTGTGGTGAAATTTGGCTTAAAATGTAGAGGTTCATGAATGCAAACAGAACACAAAGTATCAATCTTTGTATGATGTACACGTTTGCAAATGTCCAGTCAGATGAACAGACTTAGCAAACGTGATTACAGAAAAGATTATAGAACAGTAGAGGTGTGTGAAATCATGATATATCAGGCACAAAAGTAGACCTGGGCACTTCTAAGGTAACATTCCAAATAACATATTATTTTGTAGTATTAGGATAGCATTCAGATTTTCGTAATTGTGTTTAGATCAAAATTGTGTTCTGATAATGAATTCTGGGCCTGGTTTACAACTTATGTTTGCAGACTTTTGAATCATTTCTTTGTGGTAAGAGTATTGCCTTAAACAAATAGTTACAAAGATTCTTTTGGCCAGTTTGAAATACAAGCAAAAATCACAAATGAAATTTACCCTGGTCAGGCCCAGAGTTGATTGGGCCTCACAGCCAAGGAAGCAAGGAAATGGTTACAAAGATTCTGAACTATTTCTTTTGGCCAGTTTGAAATACAAGTAAAGATTACAAATGAAATTTTCCCAGGTTTGGCTCAGAGTTAATTGGGCCTCACAGCCAAGAGGAGCAGTGAAATCGTTACAAAGATTCTGAATTATTTCTTTTGGCCAGTTTGAAATACAAGCAAAGATTGCAAATGAAACTTGCCTAGATCAAGCCTAAAGTTGATTGGGCCTCATAGCCAAAGAAGCAGAGAAATCGTTACAAAGATTCTCAACTATTTCTTTTGGCCAGTTTGAAATACAAGCAAAGATCACAAATGAAATTTACCCAAATCAAGCCTAAAGTTGATTGGGCCTCATAGCCAAGGAAGCAAGGAAATCGTTACAAAGATTCTGAACCATTTCTTGTGGCCAGTTTGAAATACAAGCAAAGATCACAAATGAAATTTGCCCTGGTCATCCCAGAGCCAAATGGGCCTTACAGCCAAAGAAGCAGAGAAATCGTTACAAAGATTCTGAAGTATTGCTATTGGTCAGTTTGAAATACAAGCAAAGATCACAAATGAAATATACCCAAGTTTGGCTCAGAGTTGATTGGGCCTCACAGCCAAAGAAGCAGAGAAATTGAGAAATTGTACAAAGATTCTGAACTATTTCTTTTGGCCCAATTTGAAATACAAGCAAGATAACAAATTAAATTTGCCCAGGTCAGGCCCAAAGTCGATTGGGCCTCCCAGCTAAACAAGTATAGAAATCGATCCCTACATTTTAAGACCAGTTTCATCCAAAGACCCCTATTCGTCCAAATCGTGACATGCCCTCGTTAGGGGCCCAACAGTCCCCGACTAGCGCAACAATCGAAACTCTAATCGTCGCTATAAATGCTCTAACAAATTCCCTAATGCCCTCGGTTGCACGAGAATGGAAAGCACCCTATCAAATCCGCGGTGGTACGGGCCTCCGTAGCGGTCTTCTCATGGTCTGTCCGATTCTGTTGGTGCAATGTCCGCGAGGACGCGGCAAACCGCGCCTCTTCCTCGTGCTCGTCCACCGAACGAAGCCAGGCACAGGTGGTGCACTGCCTGCCGAAGCAGTATCAAAAGCAGCAGACCAACCAACCTGTTTCCTGACCTCCGGCTCGGCGTCCCCGGACTCCGACTTGGGCAGCAACAGTTCGCCCCGATCCTCCTCCCGGTCGGTGAGAAAATGCATTCCGCTTACGACCCTCTCGGACTTGATGAACGTGCTCCCGTTCCCCTCGCTGAAATTGTCCTCGCCGGTTCTTGTCGCCGTCGTCGACGACGGTGGCGGCGACGACGAGGTGCAAATCTCGAACGTGATGTCGGTCGGAAGACTGGGCAGCTGGTCTGGGTTAGACATGGAAAGAGAACAGGTACAGGATTGTTAGTTATCAGACAGTCTAGAGATTAGTTGGAGCTGGATAAAGAAGTCGACGATTCACCAGAGGTTAGAACCTCGATTATGGCAAGCAGTGGTCGCCATTGTTAGCAACAAAGTTGAAGACTACTCATGAGCCATAAACAACGGGGATGCACGAATGACACCTTGCGACAATCGAGGCTCTGCATACAGAATTTTTGCACATTCATAAAACGTGAAGTCTCATCAAGCATCTTGATTCGATTTCAATGACTATCTATTTTTAACCTTTTTCAGAAACAAAATTAATTTGTGGTAATATGGGAATAAAAATGTCCTTTTTCATTTCGCAGTTCGAGGCATCGTTATTAAAATACGAGCAATTGAAAGTTTTTCGTGTCTCGGTATCAAAGCTTGTATCTCGGTAACAAAGCTTGGAATTGCAAATGTTATGAAGGATTTTTTACTCCTTTTTGGATGAATTTTTGTTAACAAGTATTGATTTCTGGTATCAATGATCAGAATGAATAACAATCCTGTGAGAGAAAAGGGTAAAAGGTGTTATAGAAAAAAAATTAAATTTTATAACATAAATGAAAATAAATACATCATTAGTAGAAGGTAATACTTGAGAAAATTGTGAACAATAAATCCTTACGCTATATGTGAATTAATTACAATGGTAGGTATACGATATTTAACAAACAGTAAAAACGAAACACTTATATTTTTATTGGTGGCTCTGTTCTTATTTCTATTAGGAATATTTTGTTGTAATCTTTTTTTTTTATATACAATTATAGTATTTGCTGATATTTATATTTTCTAACCGAAGATTAACAGTTTGGAATGAAACTTTAAATATTAATACCTTTTAAAATGACCTTAAAAGTTTCATTCTCACTGTTGATTTTAAATTGGTAAATATAGATATCAGAGATAACTATAATTGTACACTTTATTATGTAAGTATTTCCTTCACACATATATTATTCTTACAACTTTCTGCCACAAGCTTTTATTGCAACATTTTTACCATTCTGTACATTTCTCTCTACATTAGATTTCATTGTATTGCAGATTAATATCATATGTTGTTTCTGTAAAGCTCCAAAATAAATTGGATAAAATAGCGAACAAAGTGCTTGGTGAAACTTCACATTTTTGTTGTATTAAGCAATAATCCATGTTAAACAGAGTTTAACACGTTCGCTACCACGCGTTGCTCTACACAAGCTGAACATATTTAATATGCTTATCTGTAATCACTTGTAAATTATGTTATATACATAAGTTGCATAGTTGCAAGAGAATTCTTAAGATGGTGTATGAATTCTTTTCATGATATTAACGTAACATAGTCTGTGGTCAGAGATGGGCAAAATTATTATTTAGTTATAAATTTCGAATAATCAATAAAAGATAAGTGTTACAATTGATCAAATAAAATATTGCCCATTTCCAATTATCCAATTGAATGGTGGTAGCGAACGCATCGTGGAAATGGGAAACATCTTTCTGTTGAATTAGGTGAACAAGGAATTTGCAAATTCTGTTCCTGAAAAATGAAAGAATTCGAGCGTTCCCAGACTTGATATACAAGTACTTCGCGAATCGAATTAAAAGCTATCTTTATCGCGTTATTAAATTCTTGAATACCGTTGAAATTTTATTTTGATCAAAGTTCAATTATTACACATCTATTTGGCCAGCGTGAAACATGGCGCGCGCGAGCGCCGTTATTTATTATTAAAAGCGGGGGCCAGAAGACTGCCGTTACAGAGAGTCTCTAAAAAGATGTGCGTTTCTTTGTCTTGCTTTAATGAAGGTTTGCGCCAATCGATACAACAAATAAACGGTCGGATAGACTATTGCAATGTATATCACAAAGAGTTACAAAGAAACTACAATTAGGTAAAAACAAATAAAAATAATAATAGTTATCAAACTGTTATCGCTCTTAATCGCCACCAGACACCAATTAATTATAGGTACATACGTACGTACATTGAAAACAAATGTACAGCCGACGACCGACGATCAATGTGCGAAACGTGCAGCTTTGCTTCCTTTATTGTTACTGTTATATGATATATAACTAACGCGCCTCCATCCCCCAGATAGGATGGACGGTACAATATAATATAACATAATATAGTATTTTATATATAATATATAATAGATTTTCTGTATTCGCAACGTCTATATTTCTTAACAGTTCTCGCAATTTTCATTATCTATTGCAAAACGTAAAATTACTGTGTCGAACGTTCGTGTCTCGATGTCCTGCAAAGAATGCTTCCCTTTGTTAACGTTTATGCGTCAGCGTAATTGTTCTATGTACCGCGTTTCTCGCCTATACCGAAACAGAGCGCTGCGCGACGTCTCCATGATGTTTCCGTGCTTAATAAAAGTGCCAGTACTCGTACGTATCGCTACTAAATATATAAACATATATATATATATACACATATATAAATATTTGTATATTTATACATATATAAATATTTGCATATTTATACATATATAAATATTTGTATATATATACACACATATAAATATTTGTATATAATACACACATATAAATATTTGCATATATTTATATACATATAACGGTGATCGTAAATTTGCTAAAACTCGCTTGCATTAATTTTTATTAAATCGAACGTAAATTCTCGTATTTACTCGGGACGCCATACTGCGTTTTCGCCTTTTTCCAGAGTTGACAAAGATTGCAGAGAATGTGTTTACGCGATTGCTTATCCAATACAAATTTTTTTTACCGACAGTGAAACGAGTAGCGAAACCTTTTTCAACAATTTTCGAAATCGATTAAACTAAATTCTAATATTTCGCGGCGTTCCGACGACAGACGAGAGAAAAAAAAAACAAAGAGCGTCGTCACCTCAACTCAGCTTCGAATGATTCGCGAAATTCGCCCGCTTGTTCAGCTACCCAACACGAATAAAATTTGCAGCGGTCAACCATCTTACATAAATACAAGTCGATTCGTCGGAACGACGCGATACATGAAACATCCGCCACGTTGGCCGAGCAAAAGTGGAAACATAGTAGGCGCCGCGTTGTGTCGCAAGCTGTAGCATTTTAACGCTCAAATAAAATATCTGCATTATAAATATAATAACCGTTTGTTTGCATTCGTCTGGCTATCCTCACGTCTCGTTCCCTAAACGCGTTGCTGTGGTTTTCATTTTAAAGCCTAACGCACCTTACCGCGCTAACTAATTACCCGATGATACAATTAAAATTAAAAAATAAAATAAACGTTATTTGACGATGACAATAGTAATAGGTATAATAATAATAGAACTCTTACAGTAGTGGTATAAAACTAAAACGTAAGAAGTAAGGTAGTCACAGTGCATGGAAAAGTGGAGAAAAAAAAAAAAGAAGAGCGACACGACCGTCCTGAATTGCTTTTGCACACGTCGCATGGAAGTGGAAAATTTTTTTAGAGGCTCGCGATCAACACACCCAGAGGCCTCGTAACGCACGCGATAGACGGATTCTGTCTTTTTTTTTTCAAAATAGAATTCCCTCTCGTTAAACGAAATCAAGCGGAATTGCATATGATGCCCGTTGTTTTTTTTTTTTTTTTCTTTTTTTTGTATCCATCGCATATACGCAAATTCGTAGTCACGATACGTAACACATATACCCGGATCGGTTAAAGCCTAATTGTACGATATGTATACCCGAATGCGTTCACGCGCGCTTAATATCAAAGTATAATCCGTTCTACGACGTATCGACGATCCGACTGGACGTAGAAAAAAGGCATGAAAATATATAAATTTCTGCGCAGGGGGGAAGGGGGGAGTGTCGGTTCCTTTCTCACGCGGGTGCACATTATTCCCTCTCACGTAATATATCTCTTTATATATATTCTTTTAAATAGCTCTCTCGCGACCAACCATCATTCTGACATACATATATATCGCACGTACACATCCACGCTCATTTTCACATGCTATCACGCCGTTATAACACCGACGTCGGAAGACCAAAATACTCCTTTCCGTTCGGTATTCGTTCGAATGCTCTCTTGCAGCTCGGATATCGGGAGAAAAGGGGCGGGGGATGATTTGGGTTTCGGGCGTTTTGCGTCGGGAGGCTCGACGAGCAAATACTTCTAGTAAATTCGTAGAACTGTGGGGCAGGCAGCATGGATGGAAAAGATCCGTGTAATATCAGAGCTCGCAAAACTGTTCGATGTCACCGACATGTATAGTTGGGAGCGCGAGCGTCTGTCCCGCGGGGGCGTGGCCTAAGTGGGAAACTGTTCTCAACGTGACTGAGACGCGTCTGCGCGTACTGCAGGGAGAAACGAGGATCAGTCTTCGAAGGAATCATGAATTATGTTCTTCTTACCCTAAGACTGATCTTTCTTCCTTCCAACAATACCTGCATAATCAATTTTCAGGAATAACTCAAAGTGAGTGCTCGTTTGTTGATGACAATTTTTACACACGTTGCTTGGTCAAAAATGTTACAAAGATGGCGTCGAATTTTTTGGCGAATACGCCCCTCTCCCACTCGGGACGGAATGTTCGCGCTCCCTTTATACAACTTTTCCTGGAAGTACTCAACGGCGCGCTCGTTATTGCTAATTATTGTACAAAATTGCTGCGTTTATTCGTTTCGAAGCGCCCAGATGAGAACCAGACTTTTCTGTCGAAGGAGTAATAACAACAAAGAGGTACGGGGCGCGACGAACCGTAAACATCTCAATTCTCGCGCGACTACGTTGCTTTTTCGTATTGTCAAACGGACACGGAGGAGCGATAAGTAACTCGTTATATCCCTACGAACGAATCGTAAGCTTCGTTTGCGTTAATTCTATTCAGCGTGATTCTCGGAAAAAATTTACGTAATTCGACCTTGCTACGTCTACTCTGCGGTGTCCCAACACCGGAAAAAAAGAAAAGAAAACGTGTTAATAGCGTATCATCAAATAACAGATTTTTTTTTCTCAGATTTTTAACCGAACGAACGAACGAAAAAGTATATCGTAATATAATATAATATAATATAATATAATATAATAATATAATAATAATAATAATAAATCGAAGAGAAAAAACAAACGGTCTAGACCCGAACTAACCGAGGCCCATTTTAAGTACACAGGATCTCCCATTTTAATATCTTCGTACTAATATCTGCCAAACTACCGATTACTCAACGAAATATTTCAGACAAAAGTTATCTTATTCCGAGTATGACTTTCTATCCTACGCACTGTTTTATAGTATTCATTGCTTTAAACACAATTGTATGCCAATTGTTAGCTGGTATAGTTCACACAACGCCAAATCGTTTCATTGAATAACTTGTGGTTCTGGATATAATTGTACGACAGTATTAAAATGCAACACCCTGTATATTATGTTTGTATACATATAACTTTCTCTATAACGTGTCCGTGCTTGCGTGTGCATATAACTTATATACCTAGTAATAATAACCAATTTTATCGGTGCTTGTCCATAGCTAAAAGTTAATAATTCTTATCAAACAATAATATTAATAGCAATAATTGTAACGGTGATAATAAAAATAATATTGTTTGCTGCATTAATAGTAGTGCAAGTAATGGTAAATTGATAATGATAATAGTAATAATTAATAATTGGTAATAACTATAATACACTTTCCCAGAGAACCTGTACATATACCGAGGCTGCTATGCAGTATAATTCGTGTTCCTTCTCTTTCTCTCTATCGGAGGCGCTATCTATCGAACTCTACGAGTCTCCTGTGCTCGTAGCGAACTGTTATAAACTCTGTGATAAATATACATTTTCTTCTTCTTTCTTTTTTTTTCTTCTTTTTAACATTTTACTAATACGCTTCGCTACGCACCATTGGAATCAAATCTGTATGGCTTACAAAAACAATTAAAAAAAATTAAAAAAAAAAAAAAAAAGAGAAAATCCTGACTACGAAACTCTGCACGTTCATTATTAAGGGGTTCACTTAATTACTTTGCCTTCCACGGTATTTTCGGATCCGTTCGAGGAATTGGAAGAACGTTACTATTTTTTTTGTTTTTTAACCTACAAGCGAATGACACGTGTCGTAGGCGGAGATGAATATACGCATCTTTCTAAGAACGCGATCTCGCTCTAACGGTAAAAGAAAATGGAAGTATCTCGACTGTGACTATGCAGAGTTCTACGCAGACGTCGAAGGGACTACGAAAGGTGCAGTTTTAAAATAACCGAGAAGAAGAGGGAACATATTTCTAACCAACGTTTCACATATTGCCTGCCAAAATTGAAATTTCATTTGAAAAAAAAAAAGAAAAAGAAACGAACGAAAGAAAAAAAAATCGAAAAACCTTGTACGTTAAAGCATCGACGCACTTTTAAAGCTATCATCACGGTACGATCTAGAAGAAAGAATGAATTACTCGTACTAACATCATTTTGTCAGTCCCATTGTTCGTATTGCTTACGTTACTCTGTATCATCGCTAAACCGTTAATGTAAAATTTCTTTTTTTCTTTTTGCACAATTTTTATACACTTCTTGCCCGTGATACGTATGTATATATACCAAGCTATCCTTACAAAAAAAAAAGGAAAAAAAAAACAGAAAAACATCGATAAAGGCACGAGAAAGCTCGTTAGTATTCTAAGAATAATTTTCTTCTTTGTTCGCCGATGTCGTTAAATTTCGATTCTCAAAAGATAACGAGAAAAAATTGGAATTAATGCAGACTACGCCCGCGTAAAATACTGCGTCCATTAAACAATTCATTTGTTACGCGGGGAGGGGGTGGGGGAGGTAAGAAGTGGGGGAGGAGGGGAATAAGATAGCGGGAGCCCGACACGACGAATTTGTCGGCGCTGTGAAACAATGGTTTAAATACACGGGCACGCGTGCACGTAAGCTCGAGAAACGTCGAGAGGGCTGTTTCTCGGTGAAATTTTAAAATGTTCGTCGACTCGCGAGCCAAATTTCACTTTACGCGTCACTTACGCCGCCGCGCGCGTTAAAACGCGCCGAACGCACGAGCGAGGGAGAACAACCGGAACGTCGATCGGCTCACAAGCATTGCGCGCTATTGCACGGTTCAAGGATCATATAATACTAATGTACATAGAGGGGCACATCGCTCGAGTAGCCACGTTCGAGGACAAACATCCTTCGTAGGGGCCGTAGACGCAACGATCTGTCACACAGCAAATTGTAAAACAATGATTGACGCGACCGTTTGTAAATTGTCGTTACAACACAGGGGGGCACTCACGGCACGCTTCGAACAAAATTTTCCATGCCATTACATGCGCACGAACACTGACAGCGAATCTGTCCTCTTCTCAAGCACGCTACTCACAAGATAAACGAGCAGAAAATGCACTTGTTTATTGCCGCGATCCACGCCAGCCACTAACGCATGATGGCGGCTGACGTTGCGCGCATCCGTTCCGCTCAAAGCGTTCCCAGTCCTATGGTGCCTACGCGCTATTATGGGACCTCTTAAACTTCTACCAATGACAGAGTTTAGAGAATTTTTAATCCCTTTCAGGCCCACAGTTCTTGATCACAATTATAGTAAATATGTCAAAAGCAACACAAATTAAAAATTTATCGACGAATTAAGAATCATTGAATCATGCAGAGATTATGCATACTGTTACTAACGAAATTAACAGAGTATAACTAAGAAATTTGATTACATTTATTGCCATTAATTAGATCATTAAACACTGCTTCGATTTGGCACAGTATCTATTATAATCAATATAGAAATCGATATTATTAAATTGATATTAAAAAAAGGAACTATTATTTCTGTAAAAGCAACTCAATACTATCCTCAATCACCCCACAGTTGGTACTATAAAGGGTTACGAAAAAAACTAATCCACTGACAGTGTTCGTGAATCTGTGCAGTGCACATAAATTCGTTCTCAGTTCGTGCAGTATAACTCGTCGCGTCTACGGGCCCCTGTTATTCTTCGCGATCGATCCGTCGCGTTGATCTCCTCCACCCGGTCGCCACGCGTCTCCGGGGGGCTCTTCTTCTCGAGCGACAACCCGTCGGGCTCCTCATAACGACTAACTCGATTAAGACTTGGGGGATCGATCATCGCGGGGGTGAGATGGGGCCATGCGATTGGTCCACGCGACACACGGTGTTTGCACATTCGGAACGGGGGGGGCAGACTGTTTCGTTTCCGCGTATCCTCCGTGACGCGCCACGTTTCGCGGACAACTGGGACTTGGGGGGACACCGCGAGGAGTAGCACGAAACTTGGTTTCGATCGCCCCCTAGACGCGGCCCCGCCTGAACACGGACACGATCTTCGTCGCGGACGAGTGTTTCAACGTCGTCCTCGCCGTCGAGGTCCTCGCGTTCCTTTGGGTGCCGCTGGTCGCGGCGGTTTCCGTTCGTCCGTCTTGGTCGTCCGGCGTCGTGGTCGTTCTTCGTGCTGGACCGATCGCCACCCCACCTCGCCCTCGCACCGCCCGCTAAGGCGAGAGAAAAAAGCCAAAGGGCACGACGCAATCCTTGGGCATGAAGCAGTCGTGCACGGTCTTCATGTGGTTCTTCATCTTGTCGGGCCTGGAGAACTCTTTGCCGCACACTGGGCACGGGAACACCTTTCTCTGGTGGCCCTCGTGGTACAGGAAAGCGTGCCGCTGGAAGCTGTACTTGTTCTTGAACGTTTTCTGTATGTCGAGCTTCGCGCACTCGGTGCATTGGTAGACGCCCTCGGAGATCGAGGCGTAGCGAAAGAGATTCAGCCCGCGCACGGACATCTCGGTCAGCTGCTCGGCGGGATCCTGCGAGTGGGAGGTAGCGCGACGTCTCATGCGCCTCTTGGGCACCTGGCGACCCGGAGGTGCGGACATCGTGCCGATCTGGTGGCCGCTGGTGGACGAGTTCGTCGTCGGGGTGCTGCTGCCGCTGTTCTGGGCGTTGTTTCTGCCAGTGGCGGGCGACGCCGACGAGCTTCTCGACGGCGCCGTGGTCGTGTTCGTGGCGGAGTTCGAGGCCGCGGTGGACGTAGAGCTCGTCGTCGTGGTCAATGATGTTGTCGCGGTCGATCTCGCGCTCGATGTTTCCGTGCTCGCTTGACTCCCCGAGGATCCTGTCCCGAGGTTTCGTGTCTTCTCTTTCCACGTCTCTCCATCCGATTTCGTACTCCCCGATGAGAAGTCTGCGAAAAGATTTCAGTCAGTATCGTGACAAACTATGATTTAATGCTACGACGTTACGACAATTAATATAATCAAAAAATACTTTGGCAATTGTTTCTTATTTTTTTTTTCTACAATACGGCTATGTGCGTTACATGCAACTGCTAATTGTAATTTATATATAAATATTTATCGATACTGTTCGAATGTATAACTTGTCCAGCTTTATTATTTTTTTTTTTTTAATATTCACTTTCGATTTCACGGCGAGTAATAAAGATGGAGAAGTTATACGGTTCGCCCAGTATATTCGTACTGCATACTTTAACGGCGTGCAAACAAAAGTGTGAACAGAAACAAAATTTCAATGATACCTGTAAATAAGAATTGTAGCGTAAAACATAAGTTACTATCTACTTAATTGAGGAACAATGAGGATAAATGGATTCGGGGTGTCAACGAAAATAAAAAGTAACGTTGATAAAACAAAAATAAAACAAAGTATAATCGTACCATATTTTTTTTTTTTTTAATAAGTTGCGCGACAAAGTGTGCCGTTCTTACGTTTCGTTTAAGTGTAGTTTACTAGTAGGATCATAGCACAAGTGGTCTATCTACAAGAAAAAGGCACACGTAAACATACATCGATAGACAGATTCCAAGGGCTCCATCGATTCCACGCTGAAAATTCGTAACGAACCGTGTATCAACTTAATCAAATCAAATGACCACTGCAACGAAAGACGAACTCATCCTTTGTTTTCAAGCTTATGGCATGAGTAATTTTGGTACACGCTGCTAGACACACTGGAAACTTTCCAAGTTGAAGCGCCTAAACGACTTCGTAGGAAAGACAAATGTCGCTGCAGTCGTGTACCAAATCTGTGCAACAGATTCCCCTGTCGCGTTTCGTTGTACTAAATTCAATCGATGCGAGAAACGACAGACTCTACACTTACATACGTCTCAACGATCGTACGCAACGAAGATATCTAATTTTTTTTGGATCGTCAAAATCGTTTCTCTCAACGACAGAACGAACAACGCACGCGCACGATAAAATAAAACGAGATTGTAACAAGTTCAACAGCCGGGCGGGCTTATAAAAATGAAAAAGTTAAATGCAACGAACAAACCATGTACATATATATATTTATCTTTTTGTTGCTCTCCAAATGTTTCACTTTCCTTCATTGTCCGGACAAGTAAAAATAATAAATCAACAATACGCGTACGCAACATGCAAAACAAAAGTCCATAAAAAATAATAATCGCTTACTTCCCGTCGCGACCGGCCTTCGCGAGCAGCGTTCAACGTTCCAAGCGTTACAGCGTTTTTTTTTTTCATTTTCTCGCGCTTAAAACATATTAGATCACAACGCAGAGATCGCAAAATTCGTTCGATATTTTTTTTTTTTTTTTTTTTTGGATCGCCGCGTTCGCTTTTGCTCGAGCCGGCCGCGGCTGGGTAACCTTAACAACTAAAGATCGTCCCGTTGGCGCCGTGGATCGCTGTTTCCCGTCGGTCACGGCGATACTTTACAAGTAATCGAGTAACACGTTCGCTAATGAGAGTCGTTTAAATAATTGCTCGCGACCGTTGTACACCGCGGGTGATCGTCGCCGGACGACCAACGGGACGCATCATCCACAATCGCTAAAACGAAACTAAATAAAAGTAATTTTTGGCTAAGTGTAACGGTGCTTCGTGGTGAGTGCAGAGAATTCTCGAATTTGGCGTGTTTCGTAATATACGTTTTTCGTTCGCGGACCAATCGTGAGATACGCACGGCGGCTACGTGATATACGATTTTTGTTTTCTTTGTTCATCGAACCCGACTAAATCGAGAAATCACTACGATCGGAGGTTTTGGGGGAGGTGGGTGTTACACGGTTGTGGAACGCAACGCGAGATTAACAATTTTTTTGTTTGGTAGTCAACGCGATTCGATAGCTGCACAGAACTCGTGGCAAATTGATCGTCTGTGAAGGGTCTCTCGATTCGTAGTAACTTATGGCACTTGGATGGTGATTTCGCTTTTGTAATTCAATGTCCTCGAGAGAAACGAGGAGTCGCACGAGTCTCCGACGAATTGACACTCGCGTTCCACATACGTGCGGACAATTGTGTACGCATAATAACGGAAACGACAAGTAAACGCAACGAAAATTGTGTAAAATAAAAAGGTGTTTCTACGGGGCACGTTCAATACCGTGCTTTTGTTAATCGTTTTTGTGTGGTAATTACCTTTCGATTCAATGCGATTTAGTCCGCTTACTTTCCTCGATAAGCGTGTATACATTCGGGGTAGGGCGGTTCCAGGCCACTAAACTTATTAGCCACTATTGTATTTCTCGATACAAAGCGCGAGACGCGATTTTCCTTCTATTTTTTTCCCCCGCTCTTTTCAGCGATATACGGTCGCTGGAACATCCGTCGTTTCGGTACACTCATTCGCGCGTTTCCACCACTTTTTTTCTGCATCCAATTCACAGTGTTTCTTTCTTCCGTCGTTGGTTCGACAAAAATCAGATTCGCGGTAAATACGCAAAGTTTCGAAAAGAAAAGAAAAAATCGACGCGAGGAAACCGTCGAAACGTTGCAACAAAAAAGTGGTAAATGTTTCGGAGAAATCAAAAAGTAACATGATGGAATTTACTATAGTGTTATTGCAGTTGATGGATGAAGCTTCGTACAAGAAACTCGCTCGATTTTTCCACGCGATCGTTTCGTCGCCAGGGGAAAAAACGAATCGGATAAAAATTTCGCGAACGTTTCTCGATGTCGTTATCTTTCACGCAGGATATATAATAAACGGCGAACAACTTTTCGAGATTCGTTTCGACGTTCGTTCGATCGCTAGCCGTACGATAAAGAGTCTCATTGTCGATGATCGATCTTGTCTAAGGGTAAATCGCTGTCGACGAATCTCGCAAAGCGCGCGCGCGCGACAAACGGAGACGTGAATGCGTGTGTAAGACATGTCGGTACAGCGAGACTTAAAAATCCTTCAATTATAATCTATTGAACACCGTTCTTTTTATTATCGATAGTCATAATCAAACAATCAGTGCATATAAAATATACTAAGTCTACCCAGCGTCAGAAAAGACTCGTCTTCTCTAAAAAGTTCCCTATAAAATTTCACCTTATTATTCTGTTTTTTTTTTTTTGTCTTTACACTCATTTTACGACAAGGTCTCACTTATTTGGCACTAGATTGCGATCGTCGGGCGCGCCTTTTTAAAAAAAGGGATATACACGCGCGCGCCTGCGATCGCGGTCTTCATAACAATTTACTTATTACTTCCCTTCATCATCTTTCTTTCTTTCTCTCTCTCTCTCTCTCTCTTTTTTTTTTTCATTTTTCATCGTCATTATTTATGTCGCTTAAAAAGGCACCAAATCGGGGATTACACCGCTACATATTATTGGATCCCACTGAAGTACGTTAATTCAACGTATATATATAAAGTTAAAAGTCAACCACGTATCTCCATTTCTTTCATATTTTTTTTTGTTTTTTCTTTTTTCAACTCTCATTTTCTGACGCATCATTTCAAAAACTGCAACGACGTTAATAGGTATTATCAACTAGCGCTAAAATATATTCGATATAACTTTTGTTTATATATATATAATATATAATAATAATAATAATGATAATAATAATCGTAATAATATTAATAATAATCGCAATAATAATAATAATCATCGCAATAATAATATTAATGTATATGTACATATACATACGTATGTGTGTTTACGTATGTATATATACATATACGTACCATCTTTTACACCAGTTCGCGCATTTTGTATATGTGTCTCTCTCTCTGTATAGGTGTCTGTGTACATATGCGTGTAATTTATTTGCGATAATAAACTATGATTCTTTTCTTTTTTTTTTTTTGTAATATATATATATATATGTTTATGTATATATATATTTATATTTAATATATATATTAAAATCTATCCGATAGTACAGTCTGCTTTTTAAGCCTCGTAATTTACCTCTCTCTGTTCCTCTTTCGCGGTGGTCTCTTGCAACAGCGGCCGATGCCGATTAACACGTGGGAAACTTAGTATAATCGGTATTGACTGGTGGTCCCGCCCGTAAGGGGACGAATAAAAAGACGAGAATCGCTTGGACGTCGCCATTGCAAGAGCCACACATAAATATAATATATTCTATTTAAAATTTTCTTGTTTTTATTTTTTTTCGTATTCATTCCCCGTATCCACCCGCAATGTCCGTAGACTTATAAATTAATTAAAATATGTTCAACGCGAAACTCATCGACGAGACCTCAGCGAACCTACCCTCGATTAGCGTGAGAAATTCGCTTGCGTTCGGAACGTAATAGATCCAATCTGACGAAGTTAAGAATTAAAATAGAAAAGACAGGTGCAGATTCCGTCAAAATGGTTGCACTCGACTTTCAAACTTTCGTAAACGATTTTTCTTTTTATTTTTATCTTTTGAAATTAACCTTTGCCTGGACGTCGCCAAGAAACACGTGACACGTAATGCAAACCGCAAGGTACACACCACCTACAAACAATTCCTCATAACATTTCAACTTATTTTTTTTTTTTTTACGTCTTCTTCTTCCACTTTACTCGCTATGAACACTTTTTACAATTTGAACACTAATTTTGTACGAGCAACAAGGACCTCATATCGTTCCGTCCTTAGTCCACAATAAACACCACCCCGAGACCACTACTAACGTTTTTTTTTACTGATTGGCAACATGAATTTTCCTTTTATACAAACCTTAATTCTAAAGATTAACAACATTTAAAGGCAACGAACGTGAGCGAATGTTGTACGATAAATTTTCGTAGCAAGCTTCAAAAAGATCAACTGCTAAATTTCAACAATTTGTTTAGGTATCAGTTTACCCTGATCACGAGCCTTAAGATACCAAGTAAGGAATTCGATGTAAGTGAAGCGTACAACCTTAAACTCGCACACGTGTCATCGATAACATTATTTTTATTTCTCAATTT